CGCCGGAGCCGGCCGGTGAGCCCGGCAGCTGCGCCGCGGCGGCCGCGGTGGCGGCGGCCGCGGCGGCGGCGGCGTCCGCAGCGCCGGCGCTGTCGAATGCGCCGCTGGCGAGCAGCACGGCGGCGGAGGGCGAGTCGGAGGCGGGCGCGGCGGCGGAGGAGACAGGTGCCGGCGCCGGCGCCGGCACGGGCTGGAGGGGGCATCCAAGGGCGCACAGCACGCCGAGCACGACCTGCTCTGTCGCTCCAGCCAGCTGCTCCTGCGACGTGTGTGAGGATGTGATTGTCAAGCATCCTCATTTTAGTTCCCAGGCGAGGCAGCAGAGCACAGGAGGGAGGGGGTTTGAGTGTGAAGGGCAGCAGGTGTGGCGCCTGGGTGAGGGAATGAAGGCGGGCCTGAAGCGCGGGCGATCCAGCATTACAGAAGATTTAAAACAGGAGTCGCCTTGAATTCAAATACAAAACAGCCATCCAGAAAGGTGACCACAAGACTGCCAAGCCTGTGCTTGCGCCACCCGCGCACCTGCACCGAGACGCTCAACCTCACCACCGGCCGCAGCCCCGCGCGCCCGCCCGACTCCGCCAGCTGCTGCCGCAGCGCGCGCAGCAGGCCCAGCAGCCCGACCAGCGCCACGTGCGGCGCCGGCGCCGGCAGCGCGGCGCGCGTCGCGCCGGCTGCCGCGTCGTCCTCGACCGCCGGCGCCGGCAGGCCGCGGCGGGCGCGCGCGCGGTCGTACAGCCGCAGCGCGTAGCGCTGCAGGGGCAGGACGCCGGTGGACCAGGCCGCGTCGATCAGTGTTGAGTAGGTCGGGCCCTCCACGTGCTGGCCGCCTTGCACCATCATCTCCAATACGCCCTGCGCCTCCCTGACCTTGCCCAGCTGCGGCGGCAGCCAAGGACAGGGCAGGTCCGGGTTGGGGGGCGGGGAACGCGCGCGCGCGCAGGGTCAGACGCGTGTTTTGCGCGATGATTGGGATTGCGGCGCGGCCGAGGCGAGCTCGACGGCATCGACTGGCGCGCCTAAGGGCCGTGCGCAGCCGCAGGGGATGTGCAAACGGGGCGGCGCGAGCACCCCGCGGCGGCCTCGGGCCCGGCGACGTCCGAGCCGCAGCCGTGGCGAGCACGTGCACCCCTCTACTGATTACGCATCGGCGTCACCCGGGTTCGATCCTGGCTCACCTGGCAGTATATGCGCACGAGGGCGTTGAAGGTGCTGGTGTCGGGCTTGCAGACGCCGTAGAGCCACTCAAACAGCTCCTCGGCCTTCTGGGGCTGGCCGCCTGGGTCAAACGGGGGGTCAAACGGTCAAATGGGGGTCAAAGGGTCAAATGGTTGAAGGTTGTAATAAAAGGGCTGAGGGTTGTTCAGGGGGGTGAAAAGGCGAGGGGTTGGGGATGTTGAGGGGTGATGGTGGTTGGAGGGTTGAGGAGTGGTGGTGGGTGGAGGTTTGATGGGTTTAAGGTGGGCGGTTCAGAAGGGCGGGTACATGGGTGTTTGCAGGGAGGCTGCAAGGCGCAAGACCGCAACTGGGGGGCGGGGGCTCGTTGCGTGGCAGCCGCAGCAGAAGCGCCAGCTGCCTAAAAGACGGGCGGTGGGCGCGGAATGGATCGGGGCTGGGGGGCAAGCGGCTCCCAATCAAGACGCGCCAGCCACGCTTTCAGGAGCCGCAACCCCGATTGCCGCGACAAAGCCCGCGCGCGTGCCGGCCCGTGTGCCCGCACGCTTGACGCCTTGGTGGACGCCGTAACAAGAAAACACTCTCCACAGTAGCTTGGGCCTGTTTTGACCCGTTCCGTGTAATTGCCCACGCACCTTGCATGCACGCGCTGATGGCAGAGTTGAAGCAGGCCGTGGTGGGCTTCAGGCCGTCCCCCTGCATGCGGCGCAGAAGGTCAAGGGCCAGGTCCCATCTGGGGGGCGGGGGTTGGTAGTTGAGGAGCGATTCGAGGTGAGAAGGGGCCCAGGGTTCCGTGTCGTTGAGAGTGCCGAAAGGGCCAAGGCGGGCGCACTGCAAAGCAGCGAAGGGCTGGGGCCAGGAGCCTATGAGGGATGCACTTGATGTGTGCGCGGATGGCGCGCACTTGTGGCGGCATGAAGCGGCGGACGCGCCGGGAGCGGGGAGCGGCGCACCTGCCCGGCTGCTCGCACGCCGACAGCAGGGCGGCGTAGGTGGTGACGCCCCTCTCCACGCCCTTGCCGGCCGCGGTGCCGAGCAGCGAGAGCGCGGCGGGCAGCTGCCCCAGGCGCGCGTATGCACAGACCGCCGCGTTGTACGTGGCAGGCATGGGCTCGGCGCCCCTCTTGAGCATGCGCTCGTAGACAGAGAGGGCCTGGCGGTGCACGGGCGGTGCGTGTGTGCGAGGAGGACGGTGGGTGGGTGGGTTTCAGGCGGGGCGGACGCGGCAGGCTTGTGGCAGGTACAGCAGTTGGGTAAGGATGAACTTGAGGGTTGGCGCGTGGATGATCAGGGTGTCGGCTGGCGGCGGTTGAAGGGTGGCGCGTGGGAGCGGCACTAAAGCATCAAGCAGCATCAAGACCCATGGAGGCACGGACTGATCATCAATCTGTTCTAGGATAGAATGCATAATGTAACATTGGGAAAGATCTGGTGAGGCCGGGGACGCTGGCAGCTGAATCAAGGAGACAAAGTGAGGCCAAGCAACGTGCACGCACGCAAATAGCACAGCTGGCATGTGTGGAGGGAGGCCGTCAGGAAGCGGCCGGCCGGGCACAAGGGGGGAGGGTGCGCACGAATGTGGCTTTTGGAGCCATGCTGGCAAAGCGCGCCAGGCGAGGCCGCGGGGGCAGCGGGTGGGTGGCCACGAGCTGTCGCGCTCGTGGGCTCGTGCGCGCGCGCTCACGCGCACCTGTGCGTAGTGGCCGCTCATGTTGCAAGCGGCGACGACAGTGTTGTAGGTGCGGGGTTCAGGGGAGATGCCCTGCACAGCGGGGGGTGGTTTCATTCAGGGGGTTGAGACGCCGGGTCGGCCAACTGTCAGGCAGCTGGTTTGAATTTGACAGGGTCGTGCGGTGCACAGTGTGCAAGCAACAACTGTAGCCGGCGATGATCTGCATGGCAGCCTCCCGCAGAGTCCACGAGCAGCGCCACGACCGCATGCAGCCGGCGCGTCGCCCGGGCGGTCAACATCTACCTTGGTCAAACACTCGTACCACCATCATTACCACCACCACCAACCGCCAGCACCACCAGCAGCAACAACAGCAACAACAGCAACCACTGTTATCAAGTTTGAGGCCCCACCTGCATGTCCAGCTGGTCCAGCACGGCCATGGCCTCGGCCCAGTGGCCGGTCTTGGCGTACACGTCCAGCAGCGTGTTGAAGGTCACGAGGTTAGGCGCGACGCCCTCGGACAGCATCTGCGGGGCAGGGGGAGGCGGCGGCACGGGGC